CTAAATATATCATCAATAAACCTATCAAATTCTAATAATATGTTAGGATAAATATTATCCAGGTGGATATAATGTACATATGTACATACATATATAATAAAACAGGATAAATAATTATCTGAGCAGATCTACAATATTTAATATATCTATATCAGCTAGCAGATAAACTTATAATTAAGATATAACTGTATCAGATAGGAGATACGTTTTAAATATATATAAATACAAATTTATAGCTATATAAGATGGATGATACCTCATTAAATTTTCAGTAAAATAACTAAAATTTTTTTGAGAAATTAACTTTGTCGCAATAGAACAACAAAATTTCAATCAATTTTCTTCGAGATATTACTTGTCCGATATCTAAAGAAATTCTACCAAAACTCTCTGATAGAACAACAAAAATATCAATCAACTTTTTTCGAGATACTACTAGTCCGATATCTAATGAAATTCTACCAAAACTCTCTGATATAACAACAAAATATCAATTAACTTTCTTTAAAATATTACTAGTCTGATATCTAAAGAAATTCTACCAAAACTCTCTGATAGAACAACAAAATATCAATCAACTTTTTTCGAGATATTACTAGTCCAATATCTAATGAAATTCTACCAAAACTCTCTGATAGAACAACAAAAATATCAATCAACTTTCATTGAGATATTACTAGTCCGATAACTAAAGAAATTCTACCAAAACTCTCCGATAAAACAAAATATCAATCAACTTTTTTCAAGATATTTACCTTGTCCGATATCTATCAAAACTCTCCGATAGAACAACAAAGTATTAATCAACTTTCTTCGAGATATTTACCTTGTCCGATATCTAAAGAAATCCCATAAAAACTCTCTGATAGATCAACAAAATATCAATCAACTTTCTTCGAGATATTTGCTTTGTCCGATATCTAAAGAAATCCCATAAAAACTCTCCGATAGATCAACAAAATATCAATCAACTTTCTTCGAGATATTTGCTTTGTTCGATATCTAAAATAATCTCATCAAAACTCTCCAATAGACTAACCAAAATATCATTTAACTTTCTTCGAGATATTTACCTTGTCCGATATCTATATGAAATCTTCTTGCAGAAAAAAATCAAAGTATCGACAGATTTCTGCAAGATATATACAATTCCGATATCTCATTAAACTATCAGTATGTATGTATTATAGGAATATCAGAAGGGAGATAGTTTGTCCGAAATTTTATTGTTCGACTAGTGATAGGAATGATATTTTGATATATTGTATTTTCGTAATCTTTTAAACGTTGAAACTCGATATTGTTTTCTTGTAAAGTTTTGCCTATTATTTCTAATTTATGTTCGTCCATTTTATATTTATTATAAGAGTCAACGCTTAGTTCGGAAATTCTCAATGCATTATTAAAATGATTTACTACTTTCAATGCATCTTTCGTGTTTTGATCAACATCAGAACCTTCTTTTTTTAATGATTTCTCTTTTTTTCCCAAGGTTTCTTTTAATTCTTTTTGTATTTTATTTATGGTTTCTTGATCTGATTCTTCACCACGATTTGTCTCAATTTCCAAATTACTACGTATTCCTTTTATTCTATTATTTAAATCTGATAATTTTTCAGGATGATTTTCAAGCTCTTTAGATATCTCTTAATTGTTGATCGAGAAATATTATTTTTTTATTCTTTTCATCGTTGAAACTTGTTGTAATAGTTTGTAAAGAAGCTTTCACCCCTGCAGGTATTACAACTGGTTTACCTTCATGAATAGTATCATCTAGTATAATTGTCTCGGCAACCATGACAACTCCTCCAATCACTGCACCAGCTGCAGTTCCTATGGGTCCAATAAAACTTGCCACTTGACTTCCAATTTTTAATACACCAAATATCTTTCTTAACACTAAAGATTTATTTAATTTTTCTTGTTGTTTTGCCAATTTCTGGCTTTTATTGTCAACCTTTTTTTGTAATTTTATCGTTTCAGTTACTAAATCTTCTATTTTTTTATCCAGTTCATTGCTAACATTTTCTATCTCAAGAATGATACATTCCTTAATAAAGGTCTTCGCTTCTTCAATTTTGCCATCGATATTTTTTTTGTAATCATTTTTATATTGATCAAGTACAACTTGTTCTTCTTTCTCTTTCAATAAATTGATATTTTTTGTAACCAATTTAAAATATTTATATATATCTATGACTAGATAAGATGATGTTATTTTCAAACTCCAAATTTTACTTAATATTGTGGTGTAAAGATAATTGAGAGCTTTCTTGTAAGATTTTTGTTCAGTAGATGTTAATTCATTTTGTGCAGAAGAGTTTTGGTATTGTCCTTTAATATTTGGAATTACATATTCATTGATTCGTGTAAGAAATGATTCGTAAAAAGGTAAAGTATCAACTGTCAATTCGTCTGTTAGATAATAAAATTGATTTTCTAATTCCTGAAATTCATCAAAAAATCTTAAGGTGTCATAAACACCTCTAACCACAGGATGGTTATCCAATTCTAGATAAAACGAAGCAAGAAACTCTTGTTTTATGCGATTACCTAATTCCAATCTTAGATATTTTTTATAATTATTAATATCGATTGCGAAATTATATTGTTTTAAACATTCTTTAGGCAGTTGTATATCTTTTTCATTAATGTCCTTTTCACCGTCTTTACCTGATTCAGCTTTTTCATTATTGATAATGTCTTCTTCTTTATTCCATTCAATTTTTTCTATTGAAAATGTTTCAGATTCCCAATATTTAACTCATTCTCCATTTCCTTGTTTACCACCTTCTCCACCTTTTCCTCCAATTCCATTTTCACCTTTTTTATGTTTGTTTGAAGTACGGTCTGTTGATTCTTTTATATTTGATGTATTAATTATTTTAATAATTTTACTGTAACTTCCTTTTCCGCCTTTACCACCATTACCACCATTACCACCTTGAATTTCAGATTTACCAAAAACATTAAATATTATTTCTTTATATTTTGTTGGATTTACATTTGGTATATCTCCAGGCATTTCTCCAGGGTATTTATCCCTTGTATTATTACTTTCAGATATAAATTTATAATCAAAATCAGGATACGGTGAAGAATAATAAAATGCATCTAATATTTTTTTTTGTATTCTTCGATTAGAAAATTTATAAACCTTAAAATTCTCTTCATCTTGACCTCTTCCTCCATCACTACCATGTTGTCCAGGACCTCCTTTTCCACCATCAGCATTAATAATTAGTTCATTTCTATTTATAAATTCTCGGCCAATTCCAAAAAAACATCCAGCTGTTTCACCAGGCAAACCTGGTCTTCCATCTTTACCGTGTAATAATTGAACATTAGTTCTACCATTTCTTCTGTTTTCAGCTTTAGATGGGGAATGTGGTAAACCCATAGCCCTATTCAACTCTATTAAACGTTTATCTATTATATTCCAACATAGTGAAATACAAGTAATTGTAACTCCTTGAAATTTTTTTCCATATAAATTTGTGTCTATAAATAATGTGTTTAAACAAAAAACTTTAATGGATTTGATGTTTGTAAAATATTTATCATCGATTTTACTTAAAACGATATAATCTCCTTTTATAATCAAATTTTTATCTTCATTTTTTATTTCAAAATAAGGTGTTAAGGTGATCTTTAAGAGCTGATTCAATTCATTAATTCTTAAATCATTAACTTGTATTTGTGTAATATATTCATATTTCGACGGTAGAAAAGGCGGTTTTACTTTTTCCAAGAATTTAGTAAAATTATCTTTGTCAACATGAATCTTCAATTCTTTGCTTTCTTGTGTCCCGCAACCCAATCTATAATGTTGACATTATATTTTTTCCTATCAATCTGTATCTCGTATTCTGAAAGCTTTTTATGAAGGTCTGCTAAAAATTCATACCATTGTTTTGAATCTTTAATAAATTGAATAATTCTATCAAAACCTTTCACCTATTTTTCTGGCGTTTTTGTTATTTTTGGATTTACGGGTCGTAAAAAATCTATGTAAGATCCATATTTTACAATTTTATTTTTTATAATGGCTTGTACAAATTTTTTAGGGGTTTTTAAAAGTCTAAGGTTTTCTTTAAAACCTATTATATCAATTCTTTCTAATTCATCTTTTAGTTTGTAAATATTATTAGACCATCGAATGTAATTTTCAAAATAATGTTCAAGATCGTTTCCTAATCTCAATACGTGTTTTTCGATACATTCATTCATTATTTTATTTAAATCGGTGATCTTATTCTTTGATTCTTCGGATATAGTAAAATCAAAATCTGTTTCATTTTTAATAATAAAAGAAACGTTTTCTTTAAGTGTAAATAATAAGTCTTTTCTGTCTTTTTTAAAGGTGTTAATTCCAAATAAATTTCCTTCTTGTTTGGGTTTTTTAAAAAGACCAAGCTTAATATAGTTTTCATTATTTTGAATTAAAAGAGTGTCAATTAATATTTTTGTATCTTCATATAATTTCTTTTCATCAAAAGAAATATCAGGTCCTTCAAGTTCGGTTGAAGCATTTTTCTTCACTTCGATTAAAAAGTTTGCAACATCCCTTTTAAAAGATTTATCGGTTTGGCTTCTAGTATCCACCTTTGTAAGCACCAAGATCATTCCATTTAAAAATTTACCAACATTTCTAATTAAAGAACTTATATGTTTAAGCAACCTTGTAAAGGTGATTCTATCAAAGAATGATGTTCCGTCCACAGTTAAAATAATTTTCAACTTTTCTGCATGATCCAAGACCTTTTTGATAAAATATGTACTCAAGATATTCTTATCAACACCTCTTGTGTCTTCAAATCCCAGACAATCACAAAAAACATCATTGTCTTCAACAATCAATTCAGGAAAAATGGTCTTCGATACTATTCCATATTGAATGCTTTCATCACCTATGATAATGAAAGAGCCTCGTGTACATTTAGATTTAAGATTTTTATTTCCTTTAAGAAATTGAACAAAGGTTGCTTTTACCCGAACCGGTAACACCCAAGATTAAAAATAAATCTTTTTGAGAACCAAGAACAACTTTTTCTTCTCCTTCTAGAAGTTGGAGAACCTTGTTTAAGATATCAAGTTGATGAGTTGACATTTTTTTATTTCAGAGAAAATCAATAATAATTTTTCAACAATTTTTTTTTGTAAAAATAATTGTCGCAGCTGATGCTGAAATTTTTTCATATTTTATTATAAAATTATAAAAAATTTTTGGGCCTTTTTTTTACACTTTTTTTTCATAGTCAGTAGGGTAGTTTTATTAATAAAAAAGTATATGTGGATTTTAGTAGGTATTATAGATTTAAATAGAGACCCCAAATTTCAGCATCAGCCGTTTTCAGCATCAGCTGCGACAATAATTTTAGACGATTTTTATTTTTTTATTTATTTAAAACAAGTTTTTTTAATAAGTGGAAGCCGGCATATATTTTATTCACAGATTCAATTTTTTATTTTTTTATGTCATTCTGACCAATACGTATTATTACTTATCATTAAGAAATATTATCACCAAATTTTATTACGTAGTGGTAATAATAAGTAAAAAAAATGTGGTAATAAGCCTGGTTGGATTTTAAATTATATTATCGTTATTCAAGTTGTATTTGTGAATCGTAATAAGTAATAATCAGTCGTAATTTTAGCAATAACGATAACAGATAATAAGTTCTGATACGTAATAATACGTAAGTGTAAAAAAATATGTATTTATTACTTACTTATTACCTTGCCCATCTCTAATTCTGACGACATTTGAATGGAGAATGTAGTAATCAGGCCTGCCGAAAAATCAATTAAAATTAATTTTTGCTATATGTCATACAATTAAAATCAATTAAAATCATCATAAAATTAATTGACGTTTTTACGCTATGAATAGCAGGGAGTTTTAGTAATTGATAGTATTACTAGCTCCGCGTTTAATTTAATTATTATAAAGTATACTTATACTGATTTTACGGGGGAGTCATAGTTGCCTGGTTGTGTGTGATAAAAACAACCAATCAAAACGAACTTCTGCTATGCTTTATTTAGCTGATCATCATCATCGGTCGGATGCTATTTGTCATACCGGATACTTTGCCGAACGGAACATGGTAGATTATCAGCAAAGATTAACTCGAAATTTTTTTTTCGAATTATCAACATGGAAGAACAATTTGAAAGAATTCGAAATCAAGTAGATTCTAAGCTTGATAATCAAAAACAAATAGCTGCTACATTGATAGCGGTTGAAGAAACGATAAGAGATCAAAATTCTCCTCTAATACCTACTGCTTATTTCGCTGTCTTACTAACAACGCTTGAGGAGCAATGTAATAATTCTACAGGTTCTGGAAATGAAATACATGGAGCAATTCTTTATCTTTTGAATATTATACTACCTAATTTATCTCCTACGATATTACTTGGCAAATTTTCTCAAGTTATGCCAATGTTATTACAAGATTTAGAGTCTAACAAAGATGATTCGGCGATCGTTCGTTCAATTACAGGCTGCATAGAAAGTTTTCTAATTGCACAGGATAGAAATGCATGGAATCAAGTATTGGCAAAAAAGTCCTTTCAAGCGTTATTAATCCTTTCTGTGGATCAAAGACCTAAACCAAGAAAGAGAGCTCAGGATTCTGTGCGAAAAATTTTGAATTGTCCTCCTCCTCCAATGATTAAGCATCCTATTATTGGTATGACCACTGAATTCTGCCAAAGAATTCTTAATGAATGTTCAAGATCTGATCGTCAAACGATACACCATATTTTAGCACTTTTAAAGGCAATTGCTGGAAAATGGCCTGTTCAAAATCTTGGCCAATTATGTGAATTATTACTACATTTACAAAAATCTAATGATGCACTTATCACTATCGCTACATATCAAGTATTTGATGAATTATTTCAATATCATAGGAATGGATTTGAAAATTATGGCCTTGAAGAATTATTAAAATCTCATGCTGAACTTATGCCAAATATTCAAGACTCACAACTTTTACCACACTGGCTTACTATAGTTGTCAAAGGATTTAAGGCATATGCTGAAATTAATTCAGACAAATGTATTGGAATTTTACATAATTTTTTTAAAGCCATATTTCCTGTTCTGGAAGTTGATAATTCTGATATTCGAGTTGCTGCCACGAATTGTCTCGTCGAACTCATTACACATGGTATTACTGATGACGTTATTCAAGAGACGCTTCGTGGTGGACAAGTAGAATCAGAGAAAAAACAATGTTTGAATGAAATTATTTTAATTGTTAAAAATGGGTTTGACTTTCGTTATCAGAATGCGTGGATTTCTGTTTTAAGAATTTTAGAATCATTATTTCAACGATTAAAGAGATCTTCACAAAAACTCTTGAGTAATTTACTTATTATTGTGGAAGATATAAGAATGAATTCAGGACCTGAATTAAAGGATGCAGCTGATAAAACCTTAGGTGCCGCAATCGCAAATATGGGACCTCAGGCGTTCCTTAATGTCCTACCATTGAATTTAGAAAACCCTGATAATAATAAAAATATTGGTCGTGCATGGCTTTTACCATTACTTAAAGATCATATTACAAATACTGAACTTGGATATTTTATTCAGGAACTCATTCCTTTGAGTGAGAGGCTTGCTCAAAAATCCTTACACTTTCAGAATCAAAATCGGATGATAGAAGCAAAAGTTTACGAGACGTTAGTTCAACAATTATGGACACTTTTACCTGGCTTTTGTGATCTTCCTTTAGATTTACCTCATTCTCTCACAAATGTCACAGCTGAATTGTTTAGTAATGTGATGTATCAAAAACCTGAGCTCCGACCAACTATTGCTCTTGCACTTGAAAATTTGGTCAAGAAAAATCAGGTTATCATTGAATCGAATGAAGAAAATAGCCAATTAATGAAAAAATATGATTTAGATAAAGCATCAGCAGAGAAAAACCTTCAATTCTTGGCTAAATATGCAGCAAATTATTTGGCAGTGTTTTTCAACGTATTTAGTCAAACACCTACAGCATATAGTGCATATATATTAAATTCTATTAAAGTTTATCTGACGATCACTCCAACTAAAGATATTTCAATAACATTTGATAAAGTTGTAATATTACTGAAGCAATCTCTTTCCAATCATACACCACAAAGTAATGAACCATCTACATCTACCATTCCTTCAAGGTCTTATACCATGCTAGATTTATCAATTGTAATGGTACCACATTTGGAAATTGATTCTGTTAAAAAATTATATGAGATTATCACTGCATTATTTTGTAATGAGGATTCCACATTACAAAAAAAAGCATATAAAGCATTAAATATAATTGCAGAGAACGATAATATAAAAATGGTAATATCACAGAATATAGATGATTTACAAAATAAATTGATAGAATCTACCATGGTTTCCACTCTTGCTGCGAAAAAGAATCGGTTGTTAGCATTGACGAGCATTATTAAATTATTACCGAGAACAGATCTTCATATGATTCCAGATGTTCTTTCTGAAGCCATACTGAGTACAAAAGAGACCAATGAAAAAGCTAGAATTGCAGCATATGAGTTACTTATTACGATGGGAAATAAGATGAAAGAAGGTGGCACAATAATAATGAGCAAAGTGGCCGAAGCGGATCCAACAGCGCAAGATGTGGATGCTAGTATTAATGAATTTGTGCTCAAAATGGTCGTTGCTGGATTAGCTGCAACTACCCCTCACATGATTAGCGCCACTATTGCATCATTATCGAGATTACTTTTTGAATTCAAATTTGATCTTGACCAATCACTTTTCCATCAACTCCTAGATACCATGGATAACTTTGTGAAATCCAAAAATCGTGAAATTGTTAAATCAGCATTAGGATTTGTCAAAGTTATAATTGTTTCGCTTGATGTTGACTTTTTAGTCCCACATTTACCACAAATTATAATAGGGATTCTTACATGGTCTAATGAGCACAGAAGTTTCAAATTCAAAGTTAGACACATTTTTGAGCGATTAATACAACGGTTTGGATATGACACAATAGAAAAACATGTATTGAGATTAGGAAACGATCTTGAACATTATTTTGAAAATTACATTCGATGGTCTAATAATATTTACAAACTAAA